GAATGTTTGCCCTGGGATCCTCAAAGGCCAAGAAATGTAACAGAAAGAGGTGATGGAGAGTGAAGATCATGCAATTTCGAACTCTGGACTCCTGAATAAATTTGCATTCTTTACTTACTCATTCAAATTTTACCAAGACAGCTGTCAATCAAACTCTTCTCTTCTGCTCTCCTCAACTAACCAACAGGAAACCTTCTTAGGGATGCTTAAGGGTAAATGAAATGACAAAGGAGAAAACCTTTTGAAAATTGCAAAATGCTCCACAAATATATTATTTTTATTATTATTCATAACGTTTAAAGTATAATTTTGGCTTTACCACAGACATGACTTCAGGCAAGTAATTCATCAGCTCCACCCTCCATGTAAAATGGATGTAGTAATAGATGGGAAAGATTAACTAGAAAATGATGGTGGATGCCTTTGAAAATTGAGGGTCACTGCAATACTTCCTAATTAAGAGTAACCATACAATTGTGAAGTTATAAATAGTTCTGCATCTGAGCAGAACCCAGAGTTCTCTGCTACTTTTTCACTTGTGGCCATTTTGATTTAGCCTATTAGTTCCACTAGCCTATAATTAGCACAACACCCTGGAAAATTAATCCAGACTGGTGAGTCAACATCAGGGAAATGAAACAGACTTCTAAATCATGTTGAAATTAAGCTGAAGCCTGACAGCCAGGTCCTCCTAGTTTCAGAGGGAAATAAAAGCCTCAAATCCTGATTTTTCAGCAAAAGATAGGGGAGTCCATTTTTCTGTTCTCAACAATTGAGTTTCAACATTGCTATCAAGGTAAACATATCCCTTTTTCAAATTTTTAGTCAATCAGAGAATTGCAAGCTGTTACTCTATGACTGTAAATCCTCAGAAAATGTAATTTGGATAAACTGCTCCATCTGTATCTCCTGGTATAGATTCTGGGGTCAGCTTGAGCAGGAGGGTGCTAAGGGTCTGAGGTAGCAGAGAAATCTTTTGCTGGGAACTGTGAGATTGCTGAAATCTGAGTCCATGGAAAGAGGGATCTACCATGCCCAGGAAGGAGAATCGCATGTTACTATAGTCAAGAGGCCACGGGCAGATTAGCAGCAATATGGAAGGCTGGAGTACACAGCCAGCTACCCAGGAGCAGGGAGATGAAAATGGGGAGCAGTGAAACACAAATGGGAGTCTGTGCTTGGGGCGCTTCTGCCTAAACAAGCTTTGCTTTCTTCATCTGCCATGTAAGGTCACGTGTAGGTGAGTATGCTGAGCTAAAGGCGAGGAACCAGGTCATCAGAGAAATAAATGGGTCCTTTCATCTTTCTCTTTCTGTAAAATCTTTTTACTTTCCAAGTTAAAATAGCCCCAGTGTCCTTTCCTTGTAAATACCTATCAGCTTTAACTGTTTTATTCCAAATCACAAATGCATGTGATATGATTGGGGAAGTCTGTAGGCAAACTTTCCTAATTAAATGCCAATTTATCTCAAGCCTAAATTATCATCTTCCCTTCTGGTCAAACTCTGACTTCAGATCATCTAGCCTTAAAATCTAGGAGCCTGTCCTTTTCCTTAATCATCAAATTCAATTGCCAAATCTTGAAAAGTCTTACTTCTGCATATTTCTTTTCATTCTTACCCCACAGCTGTGAATTTGATCTCTTATGTTCAGTACACTAAAGCCAGTTTAATCTTCTTAAAGCATGTCTTCAATTATGTCATTCCGAGACACAAAACCTTGAATAGCTGCTCAATGCCTAACAAATTCAGGAGAATTCTTCAGTTTGGCAGTCAAATCCTTGGCCTTAGCGTCCTGTCTCCTGTTCATTTCACAATCTGATAGCATGCATTTAAGTTGTGGACTGCTGGATTCTTAGCTCATCTATTCCAAGTGAAAGGCCTTCCAGAGTGGAGGCAATGGAACCACTCTGCATGCACAGGGGATAGATCTGACCATTAGTCATGGGGGCTCCAGAAAACCCATTGCTATTACTGGAAAAGTAACCAAAAGCTAAGTTGGACAGCTATCAGGTCAGTTGCATCATCTTCTTAAGTGAGGGAATATACCTCATTAACTTTTAAATGACTCCCCATTTGGCAATAAAGGGTGGGAGGAACCTTGAACTTAAAAATTATCTTTTCCTCTTCCTTCTTCTAGCTTTCTCCATTTTTTTCACACTGATTTTCTTTTGCAATAAATAATCAGAATCTAGATTCTTCTAAAAGTAACTGCTCTTTTTCCCCAATGTTATTGTGTTTTTATACAAAATGTTAGTAAATTAAATCCAGTATCACACGTAAAGTGTATTATATACCATGGCCAAGTGGGGTTTATCCCAGAATGCAAGATTAGTTTAACATCTGAAAATCAATTAAAGCAAAGCACCATATCAACAGACTAAAAAACAAAACTACATAATTATTTCAATATATGAAGAAAAAGCATTTCTGGATGTTTTCTTTCTAAGATCAGGAACACAGAAAGGATGACTGCTATCACCACCTCTATTCAACACTGGACTGGAAGTTCTAGCCAGGGCAATTAGGCAAGGAAAATAAGCAAAAGGCATCCAGACTGGAAAGAAGGAAAGAAAACTATCTCTATTCACAGATAACATGATCTTGTGTATAAAAATCCTAAGAAATACACAAAGAAACATAGAATTAGTAAACAAGTTCAGCAAGTTTGTAGGTTATAAGAGCAATATATAAAATTCAATTGTATTTTTATACATTTGCATTCAAATAATCCAAATATGAAATTAAGAAAACAACTCCATTACAGTAGCATCAAAAAGAGTAAAATATTTAAGTATAAATTTAGCAAAAGAAGTACAAGACTTGTACTCTGAAAAGTAGAAAACAGTGCTGAAAGAAATGAGATGATTCAAATAAATGAAAAGACATCCCATGTTTACGGATCAAAAGATTTAATGTTATTAAGAGGGTAATACTCCCGAAATTTGTCTACAGATTCAATGCAATCTCTAACAAAATTCCAGCTGACTTCCTTGTATAAATTGACAAATATTCTAAAATTCATATATAATTGCAAGAAACTCAGAATAGCCAAAACAATCTTGAAAAAAAAAAGGATCTAGTTTGAGGACTCACACTTAATTTTAAAACTTACCAAAAAAGAACAGTAATCAAGAGAGTGTGTGGTATAGGCATAAAGATAGATGTACAGGTCAATAGAATAGAAATGAGATTCCAGAAATACACCCATGTGTCTTGGTTTAATTGATGTTTGACAGGGATGCAAGACCATTCAACGGGGGAAAGAACAGTCTTTTCAACAAAGAGAGTTGGGACAACTAGACAGCCAAATGCAAAAGAATGAAATTGGACCTTTCCCTTATACCAAATGTAAAAATTAACTCAAAATGGATCAAAGACCTATATGTAAGAGCTAAAACTATAAAATTCTTACAAGAAAACATAGATGAAAAACTTCATGACATTGGATTTGGCAATGATTTCCTGGATATGACATCAATAGCACAGCAAACAAAAGAAAAAAATAATAAATTGAATTTTGTCAAATTTTAAAACTTTTGTGTTTCAAAGGACACTACCTAAAAAGTGAAAAGACAACTCAAAGAATGGGGCAAAATATTTGCAAATCGTATATCTGTTAAGCATCTGGATCTAGAATATAAAAGAACTCTCACAACTTAATAATAAAAAGACAAATAACCCAATTCAAAAAGGGGCAAAGGACCTGAATAGACCTTTCTCCAAAGAAGATATGCAAATGACCAATAAGTCTATGCTCACTAACATTAGTCATCTGGGAAATGCAAATCAAATCATAAGACACATCTTCACACCCACTAGGATGGTTATTATCAAAAGTCAGCTTATAATAACTATTAGAGAAAACGTGGAGAAACAGGACTCTCATATACAGCTGATGGGAATGTAAATTTGTCAGGCTATTTTGGAAGCAATTTGGTAATTCCTCAAAAAGTTAAACAGAGTTAACACTTGACCCAGCAACTCCATTTAGGTACATAAGCTAGAGAAATGAAAACATATGTCCACACAAAACCTTCATATAAATTGTTATAGAAACATTATACATAATACCCTAAAAGTAGAAACAACTCAAATATCCGTCATGAAGGGATAAACAAAATGTGGTACATCCTTGAAATATCATAAAATGGAATGAAGGATTGATACATCCTATATAACATGGATAAATCTTGAAAACAGTACGCTAAATAAAAAAAGACAGACAAAAGAGGCCACTTATTGTAAGATTCCACTCACACGAATTTTCTAGAATAGGCAGATCTATAGAGACAGAAAGAAGATTCGTGGTTGCTCAGCACGAGGGTGAATAAGGTAATTGAACAGGGATGGCTAAAGGGTACAGTTTCTTTCTTAGATGATGAAAATGTTTTAAAATTGATTGTGGTGATAGTATACATATCTGTAAATATACTAAAAGCCACTGAACTGTACACTTCAAATGAGTTAACTGTGTGGTATGTGAATTACATCCTAATAAAGCTGTTTCCTCCTGCCCCCCAAAAATCAATGCCCAAGTATTTAAGGTGTGGCCATTGATGCCAATTTTCTGGTGGCTGTTTTTTACTAATTTTTTAACATATACAATGGGTATGCATATGTATCCATCAAAATCTGGTACATTAAGTATCATTTTACTTTATTTTTTCTGAAACAATTTTAAGCTCACATAAACCACCATTGCCAAAGCATTGATATGCTGGATTGCAGTCATAATTAGGACTCCCTCCCCTACTATGAGAGGGAGGAGGTGGATTTATACAAGTTGCAGGGGTCTTCTGCAGTCTAGAATGTCAAGAAGGGCCCTCTGGTCTGTCTGTACTAGTCAAAACTGAAAGAATCATAGCCTAAACCTACAAAGGTGAAGTCCTCCAAGGGAAGGTATTTCTGCTGCTTCCCTGACCTGCTAGAGAATGGGGAATGTTGCAGAGTCTGGAGACGCTTGGGGCCCAGGCAATCATTTCTCTTTGTGCTCTTTCAACTTCTTGGGGCACTGTGAGGCCATAGGGCTCTTCCCCGCCATGGAATCCACAAAATACTAACCTCTTCCTAGTCTTGGAAAATCTCCCTCTGTCAGGATCTACTTCTTTTACTCCCTACCTCGAAGTACTTTTGTCCGTCTTCTTACATTCTATGGGATTCCTGCTTCCAGCAATGACAGATCTTCTTGTTTAAAACCAACCCTCTTACTGAGAACAACTAGAAAAGCTGGAAAGAATAGAAGAAATATCTATGTGAAGGCAACAGAAAATTTCCAAGTGAGAACTTGAAGGGCCAAATCCCAAAGAGAAAGGAAGTACAGAGAGGTGAGCCCACCATTGGCACTGCTTTTCCCATTGATGCCTTTGCCAGTTCTTAATTGGCAACCAACGAGCCAAGAAGCTGAGGAGAGCTTTGGGCAGTCTTACAGGACCAAGATGACAAAAATTGGAGATCAAGGGCCACTAATGAGGAAGTGCCCTGAGAAACACCTCAGGCTTTTATTTGGTATGGTAATGTGTTACACTGGCCCACCAATGAAACACACCTTTCCATATTTGTGCCTTTGGGTGGTTCTCTTCACATTGGCTCTGGGCTTGGCCATGTGATTTGTTGTTATCAATGTTACATTAGTAAAAGTGTCACAAACAGAGATTTGATAAGCACTTGCTCACCAGGGTTTGCACTTTGGAATTCTCCCTCTTAGAAACCAGCCTCCATGCTTAATGAAGTTCAAAAGAGAAATAGGCCGCGTGGAGAAGCACTAGAGGATGGGATATTATATGAAGAGAGGGGCCATGTGGAAGAGCACCAAAATGCACCAGCAAAGCTCTCAGGTGAATGGAGCTTTATGAGTAATCCCAGCCAATATCAAATGGAGCAGAAGAGCTGTCCAGTCAACTCAGAGAATTATGAGAAATAGTTTACCATTGTTGTTTACAGCCACAAGTATCAGAGTGGTTTGAGACATAATACATAACTAAAACAGTTGGGAACCCTAAATGCTAGGAGCAGGGTGGACCAAAAGTAGACCAGCCCCTGCAAAGACTGAGGTCTGGCTTCCAAAAAAGACTTAATCCTTTATTAGACTCCTTTGTTCATCATCCCAACTCCCAATTACCTGCCAGAAGGTAAAATAAATCCACTCATAAAGAAGATAACATCACCTAGAACCTCAGGTCATCTATATTGTTTTTAAGCAATAATATAATCTACAAAATTCAATGCCCAGAAAATTTTTTAAATTATGCTTATAAAAATATAAGAATCAATTAGTAATGAAGAGAAAAATCAGACGATAGAAACAAACCCACAGGAGCTCCAGATATGGAAGTTATCAGATATAGACTATAAAATAGTTATAATTAATATGCTCAATAAATTAAATGACAAGATAAAAGAATTTCAGTACAGATATGGAAACCATAAGAATTAAAGTGAAATTACAGAACTTAAGTATACAATAACTGAAATTAAGAATTCAATAGATAGATTTAGCAGGTAAGATATACCTGAAGAGAACTTTGTGAACTAGAGAATTTGTGAACTAGAAAAAAGGACAGAAAAAACAATCCAGACTGAAGCACAGAGGTAAAGAATAAAAAACACAAAACAAGCATTGGAAATAGATGTGATTTAGTGAAAAGAGCCTCACATTCATTTAATTGAAGTCCCAGAGAGAAAATGAAATAGAAGTAGTATACAAAGTAATAATGGCCAAAGTTCGTCAAGCTATGAACGTTCTCAAGCCACATATTCAAGAATCTCTGCAAACTCCATGGAAATCAAGTACAAAGAAAATCACCCCTAGACATATCATAGTAAAACTACTGGAAACCTAGAACAAAATGACAAATATTGTAGATTGGATAAGAAAATAAAACTAAACTCTTTCATTTCAAAGTGGTTACCTAGGAAGACTGACTGGTCTTGTCTCCTAAATGGATTCTCCATCATTACTCTTTCTCTCTTCTACACCATCCTCTACAATGCAGTTAGGCAGATCTTTTAAAAATTTAAATAACATCCATCACCTCTCTTCTCTGTATAAATGTTTCAGTGGTTTCCCATTCCCTCAGATTAAAGTTCAAACTCCTTATCACAGTTTAAGTGGCTCTCTCAAATCTGGTGTCTGTCTACCTTTCTAGATGCCTTTCTCATTGCTACTTCTCTAGAATTCTCACATCAGCCACACTCCACTGACTTTTAATTTCTCTAAATTGCTCCCCTCTCACCCACTCCAGGGCCTTTGCACATACTGTTCCTATTCTTTGGAATGCTCTCCCCTCATCTCATGTTCCTTTTCCTGGCTTTCCTACTTTCTGTATTATTGTTTAAGTATAATTTCTTCTGGAAAACTTTCCAGATTTCCTAGATTTGATAATTTATGCCCATAGAGAGCAGGACATTTGCCCCTTACTTCCTGAAATTCCCCTATCCAAGCACCTATCACACTTAATGATTACTGCTTACTTGTCTATCTCCTTTAAAGCCTTTAAAGTTTAAAAGGGCAGAAACTGTGCATGTTTTGCTCACAGTTGTCTCCCTAGTCCTCAGCCTGGCTCAGAAAAGACATCCAATAAATGTGTTTTAAATTACTTACTATTATTATTAGAAACCTCTCATACCTTGTTTTCAAGACAGTCCATTATACTTCTTTTCTAGACTTATTTCTTTTTCTTCCAGAAGCTTCTAGATGAGGATAAATGTGACGTAAATGTTATTTATCCATGAGTCCTTTTAACATCTTCAAGATTTTACTGCAATAAAAATGTAAGTGAAGGCATGAATATTCATACCACAGGCCCCTCTCCTGCTACCCCAATTCAACAGAGTTTAAAGTGCTCACATCCTTTCTTACATGCAAAAAAGTGTGATTATACTACTGGCATCCTCAAATGACACTCTGCCTTTTCAGTCACTCTAGGATCCGGTTCAAAAATGGCCTTCCTTGTTTTTTGGAGCCTTGCATGGCTCCTTTCCAGTTTTTATCACAGACTTTGTTTCTCTCTGCTTCCTTCTCTGCTTCCTCTTCTCAGCTCAGCACAGCTTCCTCTGTCGTGTTCTATAAACCTGCCACTGCTGATGAGTCTTTTCATGTGCCGTCTGAATTGATCAGCTTTGTCTCATCACCTCTTGGGTTTCATTTCATAATTTAGTGGCAAAACATTTTTTTTTCTTTACCTATTACTTTCTCTTCCATTCTAATGCATCTCTAAATTTGGTCACTGAATTAACTCTTTTAAACACAGGCAAAATTGAATGTCATCACTTTGCCATAATCTAATTTTGTCTGCTTTGTTTAGTGTTGCATCATCAGTGCCAGTAACAGTACCTGGTACCTGACAAATACTGAGTATATATTTATTGAAAAAAATTAAATAAAATTAAATGTACTCTGTGACAGGCTGCTTGGGTTGATTTAGATTACTTTTATTCTTCATATGCCACAGATAAATATTTTAAATGTCATTGAGTACCTAGAAGTTAATAACACTTAATAAAATTTTATCTCAATATACACACTGTGACCTGATACAATTATAGGCACTCTTCCTTAGCAGGTTCTGTTTGGTTGTTCAGAACAGTTAGAGAAAGAAGTTTTGTTATTTTCATTAACAAATTAAGAGACTTTTACTTCCTTTAGGTATTAGTGTTAGTCTTTGGTCTATAATCTAATCTTTATTCAATATAACAAATACAGTTACTTAATTTAAATGTAAACAACAGTGATAAATTCACCCTGTAAATCAAATTGCTGGTGTTTATAAGTGTAGGTAGCAAGTACTGGGCATCCTCATCCAGGGAAAAGGATGGTAATGAAGAGAGTGCAGAGAAAATTTCTGGAAACTGCCACTAATTTAAGATTTAGGGTAAACGGGGATTTTAGGGAGTAGCTGGGTTGGCAACAGTAGGGATTTCATGAGATGAGAAAGGTTAGATGGCGGACTTGAGGGTTCAAGAGGAAACCAGGGTGAGGGTATTAGGAGATGAACTAATTTAGTGTGTAATGAGACACCAAAAAAGCATCAGGGGAGGAGGAGGAAGAAACCTAGAAGTATGAATTAAAGGAAATTAAAGGGGAAAAACAGCAAAGACCAGGGCTTAGATGGTAGGGTCAGTGGACTAAAGATACGGCCCTGGTGCACTAACGCTAAAAGTGTCAAGAGAAAGCAAAGAAAGCAGGCCTTTGTTGAGGAAGAGGAATGTTCAAAGGTGGAAATCAACAGCGTGGGGTCCCTTCCTGCAAAGGAGATAAAAAAGAGGGGTTGCGGTCCCCTCCTTAAAGGGCAGAAACAAAGACCGAACCAAATGGTGCAGTAAAATGCGGGTGGTGGGGTGAACATGAGGAGAGAAGCAGAGGTAGAGGTCCAAAGTGTTCTAATGAGTCTGTTGCTGAAGGAGGGTGCTGCATTCTGGAGTTTGGGGAGGGTTTCACAGAGAGCACTGGGATTTAGAGTTCAGGTTGTAAAAATGGATTTCAGCATGAGTTTGGTAGAATCCAGTCAGGTTGGGTAGAGGTAGGTGGTCAGTCACTGTTGGAAGGAAAATTCAACAAGGGCTGGGAATTAATTTTAACCAGTTTAGGGTGATTTCAGCGAGAGTTGGAGGGATGTAGATCAAGCGTATGTGCGGATGCATTTCAGCCCGGTGGGTCGATTTGCCTGAATTTTTGTCGGCGCTGAGGGGTATCTCAGATAGCTCGGAGGGAGGATTTCCTCCAGGACCGCGACGCATTTCATACCAGGTTGGGGGTGCATTACAGTAGCGGCCGAGTGCCTTCCGTTTAGGATGGGGTGCGCTCCAGGCCACGGCGGGGCGAGCGAGTCCCGGAGGTGGGGTCCGGCGGGGACTCCGGGGGAGGTTCGGGGGAAGCGCCGTCTGCCTCGGGCGGGATCGACGGCTCGGGGACTTCGGGGACGTTCCGCTCTGCGAGCTGCGCTTCGCTCCCGCCCCTCCCGCTCCCGGGGGAACCTGTTGCTGGAGGAATGGGCGGGCGGCGGCGGCGGCGGCGGCGGCGAATCCTCTCTCGCCTCCGCCCGGGCCTCACGGCAGCCTTTTCACCCTAGAAACGCTCCGCGGCGCAGCTCCTCCCTTATCGCATCTATTTAAAA